CTTTTAGGTCTCTAAAGTTAATAAAATGCAAGTCTGAATTAAAATCCTCACAAATTAGCATCGATTTTATAAATAAAATAAACGGTGCTTGATGTGTTGTTTCCAAATATGTGAAAAGTTTTGAAATACACATTTAAATTTATATATAGGAGTGAGATGGCATATAGTCTTTAATGCCTTTTTGTTGGAGATGTAATAGAAATAAAGTAAATTGCTCCATCTGCTGGTTACATTTGAAAACAAATTCCTAAACTTCAAGGAAAGGTAGAGTTGAGAGCTGCTTCCCAAATGTAACAAAACAGCTGTAGCCAGCATAGAATGAAAAAATGTTAGTATTCCCCAAATTAAAACCTTGAGGGTCACTAGAAAGCACTTGGTCTTGTAGAACTAACAAAATTCAAGTGCCACCTCAGTCTTCCCAAGGATTTCTCTGCCCTGGCACTGGCATATCAAAACAGTGAAACTCATGTCAGAAGCTGCTCCAAACTCCACAGTAATACTATAATTTGACATTGAAAAACCTGAAGATTATTTAGGCAAACAGGCTTTCCAATCTCAAAGCATTCTAGAATCACATTTAGGTAAAAAAAATTTACGAGTAGTAGGTTAAGTTGCTGCCTGCAGTGCTGGCATCCCATATGGGAGCCCATTCAATCCCTGGCTGCTCCACTTCTGATCCAGCTCTCTGCTAATGTGCCTGTGAACACAGCGGGAAGATGGTCCAGGTGCTTGCACCCCTGCATCCATGTGGGAGTCCTGAAAGAAGGTCTGTCTCCTGGCGTCAGATGGGCCAACCTCCAGCCATTGTGGCCATGTGAGGAGTGAACCAGCAGATGGGAAGATCTTTTCTCTCTCATTCCCCACCCCTCTCTCTCTCTGTAAACTCTGCCTTTCAAATAAAAAAATAAATCTTTTTAAAAAAACTGTTGTCAATAAATTTATAAATCTTTTGGTCATCCTGACACTGAATAATATGTAATAAATTTGAATATACTTTAATAAAAAAAGAAGAGAGTCTCCAAATTTGCAGTTGTAGGCCTATTTAGTCCTACCTAGGAACAGGGCTTCACAGTTATCATTCACAAGCTTTAATCCAGCATTCAAATTTTAAAAAACAAACAAATTATTTAGGTCCATACTACAGTACAGCTTACCCCAACATCACTTTTTTTAATCAATAAAGTGGAAAAAGTTGTCCTGTTTTTTTTTTTTTTTTTTTTGCTGAGTAGTCCTCTCTCTGAGTCTTGTATTACAATATTTTCTTCTACGGTTAAATTAGGCAAGTGAGAAGTTTTACTATCTCAGGTTGCTTGAAGCCTGCCAAGTATTAATATACTACTTTTTAAACATTTTCAGTAGCTGTTATATTTGAAATATTTTACCCTTGCTCCATTTATGCATTAAATCATAGTTTGAAAAATTCAATTACAAGTTCATATGAATTCTTTGAACTTGGGTTTTGTTGTTTATGATGCCGCTGGAACTCATCAACTGTGCTTCACTCACTACAGTGAGCACGTTACTCTTTCCACAGTAATAGCTTCTTGAGAGGCTTTGGTTTAGTATAGGATTGTGGCTTATCTGGAATATCTCTTTCAGAGCATATTTTTCATGTGTGTATCGGAATCATTTTTCTGTTCTATTATGAAGTACTAAAGTAACTTGTATCTTGTTGTAAAGAAGAAAATCAACTCATCTTTTGAAGGAGTACATGTTTCATATTGAAAAGAAAACATTAAATGCCGTTTTCCAACTGAATGTGACAATGGATGAATATTCTTGTCAATGATTAATTTCAGGATGATTTAATCTTTCCCAAAAAGCAAAGTTATACTTAACAGTTACTTTGGGGGAATGATAATTTTTTCACTTAACATTTGATTTAACACTGACATTTTCTTGTTTTTGTTTCATTATTTGAAATATTCCCATTATTTCAATAGTCTTTGAACATAAAATTTAACCCAACAATTTAATAAATGTTGTTAATATCTGCTTTACAGAAATATATAATCTCAAACAGCTACTAGAGCACAATGTATTAAGAATAGTAGTGGAGACATTGAGTTCAAAGGCCATTGCGTCAACCTTTAGAGAATAAGAAAGACAACAGAGCAGAGGTGACCTCAGCTGAGCTGAAGGATACTACCTGGCAAAAGACAGAGGGGGAAGGGATTTTCCAGCAAAAAGAAAGCCTATGAAAAACTCATGATGTGCAAATTTTTCTCAGTTCAATTCCCAACTCCTGTCTGTGACATTTTAGATGAAAAGTTCCACAAGGAGAACGAATTCTTCTAATAACATTAAATATAAAACAACCCCCCTTATAAACTAAGGAGAGTTTAATCCTGTATAAATGAAATACATTTTAGTCAACATATTTTCAAATATAAAATATTTATGACCAAAAAACATGTTGAATTTCATTTTGTGTACATCTACACTTTTCCACATATGGTCAGTTCGGGTAGGATATAGGGGAATTCCTGAAAGAATAATTAAGTACTATGGAGTAAAGTTTCATGTAATAAAGCAGCATCAAAAGAACAGTACATATCAATTCTTGTGGAGTTCATGGCAGGGGGTGGGGGGCCCAGCTTTGCTTTGGCCTGGAAATAATCTGTAGTCAGGTTGAATAGCAGGGCTATAACCCTGTCAATGACTTCATTTCCTAAAAGAAAATAGGTAATTAGGTGCTTCTTTTGCTTTTATTAGGATAGACAGGATGAGGAAATTCTATATTTATTTTCATAGGAAGTTTCACCTGATCCACAGCTTAGGGCACTCTGTGCTATTAAAATTGAGATTTAATAATGAGGAAATGAATAGAAACATGGGCTAAATAATGTTGGAAATAAATGCATGCACTTTAGTGCCACTGAGTGATTGAAAGGCTTGATAACTTAGGGCATGAGTGTCCCATGTTTACTTTGCATGAGATAACACTGGCAGCAGTCCATAAGTGGGAAATTTGCAACTCATTTCTACCAATTATTCCCTGTGAGTGTGGGAGTAGAGAGAAGTATATGTATTTCAAATATATGTCTATTTTTATTACAAAAATATCAAACATAGACTGAAGAATAGAGATTAACATCAACATAGCCAAGTTTATTTTATATATAACACCACTCATTACCCAATTCCAGAACATTTTTGAAGCGAATCCCAGATAATACATCACTTTCTCCATAAACATTTTAGTACGTCTTCATATCTGTAAAGTATAACTGTTTTAAAAACAAAACCACAATATTATTAAAAGTTATTTTTAAAGTATTAGAGATTAACCTTTATAGAGCTTCTATATCTAATTTTTTATTAATTGCTAAGTAATTTCTAGAAACATTTTATCATTTTTACCAACGAAAAGAAACTATTACTAGCTAACAGATCTTCAATGACAAAGTATTTATATACTACATATACAGAGAATATATATATATATATATAGGAAGAAAGAATACAGAATAGTGTATATATATATGTATATGTGTGTAAGTATGTGTGCAACCATTATGTTTATTTAAAATATATCCTGAATGTAATTAAAAATTAATAATATTGAAGAATGGGCTGGAAGAGGGAGTAGGAGATGGGATAGTCTGCGGGTGGGAGGGTGGCTATGGGTGAAAAAACACTAAAATCCAAAAGTTCTACTTTTGAAATTTATATTTAGTAAATAAAATATTATATATATATATATATCCTGAATGATAAGATAGTAATATGTGTTGTGTCCCTCTCCCCTCCACCATGGGTCTCAAGATACACAAGTGGCAGAGTTTTGAAGGTTACTAATAGAGCAGAAACCAGAATCTCACACTCATAGAGTGCCAGGAGAATTGATAGGACCTTGGTTGGATGACAGTGACTTCATGATCCTTCAGGGAAGATGGAACACCACAAGCCAGGTGTCCCAACCCCAGGAAAAATTCCCATCCTGAGCTTGTACAAATTTGTAGAGCCATTCTGTTTAAGTAACCAAATGGGACTAAAGAGCAAAGAACTATTTCCCCCTGCCCAAAAGCTATAAACAATAGTAATTTAAGTACTGTAGACAAAATTCATACCTACTGCAAAGTTGTAAAATGTAGTTGCTTAAAGCTGGAATGACTGCATGTGGGAGAAGGAAACTCCCTCTGTCTGTCACACTCTCCAAACCCATCCAGATTATTTCAAAGAGCTGAGATGTAAATTTCCCCTCTCAAAAGAGTTATGAATATGTGTGGATAAGTTTATATATTTATCCTTTATGTGATGAATTAAAAATTGTACTTCTGGAAGGGGAGAGGGAGCGGGAAAGGGGAGGGTTGCAGGTGGGAGGGAAGTTATGGGGGGGGCATTGTAATCCATAAGCTGTACTTTGGAAATTTATATTCATTAAATAAAAGTTTAAAAAAAGTGTACTTCGACAATTTTAACTCAATATGAAGTTTACTAATTTTGTTAATGGAGTTTTCTCACCATGTAAATTAATATTTGGAACATATGGAGCTGGCTGGGGGTTCAACGTAATACATAGTCCCCTCAGCCATGCTTTGAGAAAGCCAGGAGACTATTGTAAAAAGTTCATCAACCTATGAATTGCTTTTTACATAAATGCAGCTTTGTTCTCACCAGTCAGTGTACAAATGAAACTAATATAATTGTTCAATTGACCTAAAAATTCAAATCTGTACAAAGGGGAAAAGAAAGAAGGTGACATCATTTAGAGCAAAGTAGTTTTTTGAAAAAACTGCTAGAGCCCTATCGTGCAGACATGAATAAAATGAGTCTGGACAAGATGGAGTCCTGGATTCAACAGAAGGAAGACAAGAAAAGAATTAGAGTTCTGTACACTGTTAACCTCCCCCATCCAGATGGCTTGGACCCACTGGAAAACAGGAACCATGGTGGTTTATATCAAGAAATTATATGGTTCTTTCTCTACCTTTCTTTTAGGTGAGGTATAAAGAGAAAAATAAACACACCAAACATGAAATTTTGAAATTCCAACCAAAGGGGCATTGTATTTTGTTGAAATAAACTATAGATGAAGAACGAAGAGACCTGAGTTTAGACTTGACATCTTCTCCAATCACAGCCAATTTTCCCTGGTGAAAGAATTTCAGTCACTTGTTGGTGATGATCTCTAGAAGTCTTGCTCTTTGGTCTTCCCTTCTTGCTCCACTGAGACTCCTTCTGGGCCTATCCATCTGCTTCTTCTACCAGCAGAGCAATATCAAATAAGGCAGTTACACACATAACTGAGCCTTAACCTTGCAAAAAACCAGGTGAGCAGATTAGGGTACCATTTGTTTGAGACTTCATTTACTCATTCATCAACATTTACTCAATTGAGCATCTACTATGTGCCAGCAACTCAAGGCGCTGGGAATACAGTGGTAAACATGGAAGATGCAGTCTATGATGTATTATGGTTTACAGTTTAACAGAGGAGGCAACTACAAGTGTGATACCTGCTATAAAAGAAACTACAAAATACAATGACAGAGCCAATTATAATAAATGCTACAAAGAAAAATAATGTAAAGAAAAATACAGACCACTGCTTTTGAAACTACAGTTATACTCATTAGCGACCATGATATCAATTTACTGAGGCAAGACCAGCCTGCTATTATTTAAGATAAAATGAAATAAAAAAGGAAATATTAGAGTCTATCACATGTAATAAGGGGAAATATTATTTAAAGAATTAAATAAGCCAGTCCCAAAGGGACAAATACCATATGTTCTCCCTGATCTGTGACAATAGAGCACCTAAAAGGAAACATGTAGAAGTGAAATTGACACTATGAGAAGCAATGACTTGAACAGCCCTTGTCTTGACTGTCAAGGAACAGTTTAGTATTTTTTTTTATTATTTTTTTCTACTTAATACCATTGGTTGAACACTTTACTTAACAGAATTAACCATAGGTGTATAAAGTCAATTGAAAATAGATCCCAGTAAAAAATAAGAGTGGGAATAAGAGAGGGAGGAGTTGTAGAGTTTGGCACACATTCCCATAGACTTACTCCTATGGGTAAAGATAAAAACTTGCCATGTGACTCCAAATCTCATTAAACTGGATGGTACTAATGCTATTTTACATGTTAAAGTGATCATATTAAGTGTGCAGTTGATGAAATAGATAGGATTAAGTGTCAAATGGATCACATAAATAAGACCAAGTGTCTGGAAATAACAATAGATAGAATTAAAAGAGAGAGAATGTCCCAACAATGGAAGCAGTCCACACAGCAAACTCATAATGACAAATGCCCTAAACAGCACTCTGGCTTCAGAATCAGCCCTTAAGGCATTTGGATCTGGATTAAAAGCCTATGAGAGCATTTCAGACATGGAAAGTGAAGACACTGTGGCAAAAAATGTTCTACATGAAGGATCTCTGTGAGTGAGATCCCAGTGGAAAGAAGAGACCATCAAAGAAGGAGGTACCTTTCTCTGAAGGGAGGGAAGAACTTCCACTTTGCTTATGGCCCTGTCTACTGATGAAGTCCGTGGACTCAAAAGGCTTTCATAGCCTTGGCAGTGCATGTCAAGAGCCTCAGGTAATCATTGATAACATAAATAAGATTATTTGTTAATTGTTAAATCAACAGCAGGAATCACTGTGTACTTACTCCCCATGTGGGACCTCTGTCCTTAATGAGTTATGAGAATTGACTGTAAATCTTGTTTTCAAACAGTACCATATACTTAGTATGTCTGGGCGCAAATTGTTGAAATGTTTACTTAGTATGGAGTTGGTCTTCTGTATAAAAAGTTAATTAAAAATGAATCTTAATGAAGAATGGGATGGGAGAGGAAGTAGGAGGTGGGATGGGAGTGGGAGTGGGATGGCGGGTATGGGGGGAAGAACCACTATATTTCTAAAGCTGTACCAATGAAAATTGTATTCATTAAATAAAAGCTTGCTTAAAAAATGAATTAACACATAGACGAATGTTGGAGTGTGATGAAAAATGTATATATTCCTATGGGCTATGGTAGGCCACTGATTTAGATACACCACAGAGACTATAAAAGATGAGTTTATCAATGCTTGCTCCATTCACACTGCTTCAACAGAGCCAAGTTTGCAAAACCTGACTCCACAATCTTTGAATATGTTGAACAGTCAGGGATTTGCATCTGTCCAGCCAGCAAATTACTTACAGCCAATAAGACTTATTTGTAAGGATTATGGCAGTCTCTACCCCCCCTTTTGTAGATGATGATGTTTAAGCTAAAAGACCATGTAAAGTTTATTCCAAGGTGGTCATATAGATCCTTGTCCAAGATTAAGAAATTAAGGAAGCAGACTGAAAGGGAGGAGAAAACACTCATAGAGAAAGAAACACAGAGTGAGAAAGCTCAGTTCTTGACTTTAGGAATAGAAAATCAACTTTTATTTGCTATTCCACAATCCATGAAGATCTTAGCATTTTTCAGTGACCACTCCCCCACACACAAACACACAAATTTCACTTGAGCTATTTGAATACGATAATAGTCTTAAAACTAAATGTATCTGATAAGAGAAAAAAGTATAAATTAATGTCACTTTCTAATTCTCATTAATGTCAGTGATAATATATTCAGAAAAAATAAAGCAGAATAACATTTGTTTTAAGTCATCAGGAAAATAAACTAGTCCTTAAGAAAGTTTTTCAGTCATTTATAGTATAATATGTGGCTTGAGAATTTTTCAGCCTTGTAGACCATATCCTTCCATAGGAAGTGATTTTCTGTATCAGTTTCACAGCATTCTCAGTAATACAGTGATCCATTGTAAGATTCAGAACAGAGAAACTGACTCCCTTCCTGGTCACTCCTATGTTGATGATATATCAGCAATAATCTGAGCAAACAAAACTGAGAGATTGAGTATTCACCCACAACAGAGCCTGTCTGTTGCCTTTGTGAATGGCAAATAGCTCCAAAATGGAGATGCCACTGATACATGATACCCTTGTTTACGTTCACATTGAGTTTTTATTTGCTACTTGAACTTCATTATAACCAACAACCATTGAGGAATATAAAAGCATGTATGCCCCCTTTAGTCATTCAGCCACATAATGAATTTCAACGAAACTCAAAATGGAGAAATTCAATAATTTGCATTACTCAGAGAGGGCCCTTGAAATGAAACCTTACCTTTTATTAGAATAAAGTATAATCCACATTAAGAGGTAACCTGGAAATGTGTACACTCAATTGAGGCTAAAATTAGACCTACTCATTTTTTTTCTGTGCTTATGAAATGTAAATCAAAGACATGAAAATCACTGAGTAAAACACATGCAATGTTTTCTAAGGACAGGGGATGGGATGTATGAATTAATCCAAATAAGAAAAGGTAATTTTTCAAGTTGAATTCTGAATACAATTTCTTGACAACCTGAAAGAAATCAAGGAATATAAAAATGTAAAGTTAAGAATATAAAACTGTAGGAAAGAAAAAGAAAACGTCAACTTGACAAAATTGGTAACATAAATTTGGGTATCAACCATAGGTGAGCATTCCATCTTACGCAACAAGGAACACGTTTTTAAATCTGATATTCTCAGCATTGACCTTTCCTTAAACCTCATCTCACCTCACCCATGCCCAATTATTCTATTTAAATGTTAATATAACAGAAATACATCACTTTATTGGAAGAACAGTGCTGATTTCCAAATCTAGCAAACGATCCACCCAAGCATTTTCTAGTAAAAGGATCATATAGTACATTAAGGATCCAGTTAAAGGGATTCCTCAACATTCATTCAACCTTCAACCCACACTTCCCTACATTATATTCACCTCTCTAAGACATCACTGAACACAGAATCTAGATTTTCAACAATTTTCAGAAGGACATTTCAAGTTAACTAAACACATTTCAGATCTTCAAAGAATTAAATGTCTTTATAATAATTATTACATTTCTCTTTTCACACAGAATGGGAAAATAAAAATGCATACATAGCTCTAGTATTAATGCAATTTAAGGGGAAAATTACAATTTCTAGGAATATTGAAAACAGCACTTCTTTAGCCAATCACACACTCATTGGACTTAAATTCTATGTTTATACATCTGAAGGAAAAGAAATTAAAGAATATGTTCGCAAGGCTGAAAATACCAACAGTTCCTTAAAGTCGATATTTTATAACACTGTTTCAAATATCTGGGAGAGGAAACCTCTTTAAAACACGTGGGTCTTTCTCAGATGCCACAAGTTCTGGTAAATCATCTATTAATTCTTTTTGACTTTGTTCTTGGATAAAGGAACTCACTTTTGCACTAACTCCCTGGGCTTTCCTCCATTTCTAAAATATTGGTTCTTTCCCCTTTTTGTTCAGAAGCCAAATGATTAGCTTCAGGCTCATGACTGATTTCCCATTGTTCCATTTACTTTAACCTTTCTCATTGCACCAACAATCTGGACCCCAGAGGGATTTGTCACAGTTCCCCAATTCTGTTTCTCCCTTGGTAGCATTTTTTTATTTGATTTTTCTTTTTCTTTACTTTTATAAAAAGAAAACCTCCTACTTTAACACTTCCTGTTAAATTGCCCTTTGGTTATGAGAAGAGGAAAGGATCTTAACTTCTTTTGACTTGTAATGTTGACAAAGAACACTGGTGCTCATTTCTTTCTGTTATGGACCTGAGAAGTGAAGATACTTTTAAAAATGATGTTTCCTTTCATTCTGTATTTAAATCTATTCATCATAACAAACTTCAGTTCAATTTGCACATGGGATATCTGTCTTTAAAATCGCCTACAAAGTAAGAACAATTAACAACTTAAAAATTTTCTAGAAGTAGAGGCAAAAAGGATATTTTGATCTCAAAGAAATGTTGTGATTTTTTAACAAAGTGCATTCAATGGTAGAACAAATGCAACCCTTAAAATCATTCCTAATGTGCAATTTGTTGTAGCATCCATACTGGCAACAGTGAAAATAACAATCAGCTACCACTTTTTGAGACCTTTCCATCCTCTAGTCAGCACTAACTAGAGGTCATAATTAATCTTCAAAACACTCTGTGAGGCCTATAGTCCTTAGCCTCCTGTTTCACATGTCAAGGATAGCTTCAGAAGTTGCTTAATGTCCAGCATCAAACTCTAGTGTAACTGGAAGACCAGGATGCAAGAACAAAGTCAGACAAAATCTTTATTGGACTCTGCACCATTTGAAATCTATGTGATTTTTACATAAAGATCTCACTTCAAGAAAACCATATCACTTCTGCTACAGTTTGTGAGCCTGTA